CGGCCCGCCCCTGCCGCCGGAGCGCAGCGGTCGCGCTCCGCGAGGCTCCGGTCATGGGCGGCCGCTGCCCCGCGGGCAGCCCCCGGCGCGTGAAGAGAGAGCCACCGGCACCACTAGGCCTCTCGACTCCACATGATGACCCTTCTCCAACACAGAGCTTTTGCACAGTACAGTGCACATAACACGAACTCTCTTCGGAGTCTCTGCTCACGCGCCAACTATGACAAAGTTATTTGGCAGAATCTTCGCCAGAATTGCCGGGTATAATCTCATAACTTAAATGCAAGTCAACCTTCGCCAGTTGGTCTGGTACGTCTTTCTCATTGTGTCGCGTGGGTGTCTTTATCCATTTGGAACCCAGTGTCTAGTTATTTTCTTTTGAATGCCTTATTTACGGATTGCTTCATTTAAAAATTGACTTAACATTGAATAACAGTGAGGTTGAACATCCAGAGCAATTTAAGCAATATAATATATTTATGTCTGGATTTAATTTTTACTTGAAATCTTTGTTGTGAAGTGGTAAAGTTAAATTCAATCTTGTATTATTTTGAGTGGTGTGTGCAGTAAATATAAATTTTCTGGTAAAATAATGGATGTTTGAAATATAACATCTTTCCAAGAGCATTCTTATGGTTTTTCAAACTATTCTGCGTAAGTGACGGAGATCTTCGTTTCATTCGTCGATTGGCCCCTCCCTGAAATTGTGGACTCCAGTAAAAAAGTTGCCAGTTATCTCCCTGGAGAGGATTTCCTTTCGGTTCCCCTACTGGAGAGCGTCAAGGCGTTGATGTGAGGGGAAACCGCCACGTGCAAAACGACAGCCGGCAGATTAGGGGAAGGGAGCCGACGCGCCTATATTCGTTATATTGCTTCTTCCAATGGGGGGGGCTGACAGACCCGACTATTTGACGAGTGTGCAACCGCAATATGGCAAGCAAGAGCGTTGTGATAGCGCAGGCCTCCCGCGAGACACCGGGAGATCATCAGCTGATGCCACTGCTGTGCCTCTGACCGGGAGGCCCTACGGTGCCCTTCCCGACGATGGTGGCAGGATTTCCTACACTGGTTACGTGGCATTCAGCTCCTGTCTTGAGGAGACTTCCAGCGGCCGGCTGCTCTGATTGGTAGTTTTCCGTGATTTATTTGATCAATGCCAGCAAATGCCGGAGCAGTACCCTGACAAACGGGCCACAGATCGCGCGCGATCTTTCCTTCCTTTTGTTTGGTCTATCCTCACCCCTTACGTACACACACTTAAACATGCACTACTCTACCACGCATGCCGGGACACCGGTGGGGAGCTTAGAGCTTTTCCCGTCTGGGGCGGTGCCCCGTTGGTGGGAGATACCTGGTTGAGGGAAAACCCCGCTAGCCGACAGTAGTACGGCGTAAGATATCACCATTCAGCAGAGGCCACCTCCGCGAAGAAAACCTGCACTATACGTACGAGACCTTAGCAGTTCACGTGCCCGCATTGACTCGTCATTCAATCTCTCGAGAGCACTGCTAGACGCGATCGAAGTTTCATATGTGGAATAACTCGTGGGCTGACAACAAACTATTTTTTTACGGCGCGAGCGTAGGCTTCCGCGGCCGGAGTCAGAAGCTGCTTGGCGGCCGGGAGACGCCGCATCCTAGGTAAAGGTGACACTTGTGCCTAGGACCCTGACTCTCCCGGGCAGGGTTCTGTGTTCATGAGTAAAAACGTGTTCGTTCAGAAAAGCTCAGAATTCTACTTGTTCATCTAGAACATGCACCACCTCAGCCCCTCTGAAGGTCGTGAGATCAAATCACGTTGTGAGAGTAAATGTTCATGCCTTGATAAATAGTAATTTAAAAAGTACGGTAACACGAGCCCTCGTCCACACATTTCATTTCCCTTGAAGTTACACAGTTCCATCTCTCCGGATCATTGAAGACGCGCTTTAATTTAGGCAGTTCACAACCGACTTTGTCTAGAGTTTACGTATTCACAAACGACTCAGTGTTAGTGCATATGTACAGTTTGGCGTAATTCGATCCTCAATCTAGCAAGTTGTGTACCAACATACACAGCACATATCCTTCTGCTTCTTCAATCCTAGTCATTGTCAGGATGCACTTCACAGTTGCTCGTGTAGTTACAATATTTCGAGCATGCTTGCTCCTAGAATTTTCATATTTAATTTTATTAGCAGTTGTTTAGTTACCTATTAAGATTGATTTAGTTCAGAAGATAGAGGATGAATTCGGAAGTGCTGTGTAGAGTAAGTAAAAAAGCAAAGCAAAACATGAAGCACTTGTGAAACGGGAGAAGAGTATTATCATCAATTGTGCTTATCTTCCGCCTTCCACTTGGAGTGTATCGCCGATATGCCCTTTTCTACATCCATATTTCACCTATTTAGCAAGAGCATTTATCACATACTGATGGTGTTCTAACTGTTAATGGTGTGCCGAAATGTTTATTTCTAAACAAGAATAAAATTACAAAGAATCGCATGTTTCGTAACACAGGTGACGAAACATGCAATTTGATTTAAACTTAGTGGCTTCTTTTAGGCTTGCGGATATCTAACAAGCAGTAAATCTACAACATGGTACATGCGGGTTTACTTCCTCTCCGAAGGAAGGCGTGGGAATAATTTTTTCGTCCTTAAAAATTATGGCATAACTTGTGCTCCGAAGACACAAAATATTCTTCAACGAACAAAGAATGATTGCTATTATTAACAAGTTGAGCGACGTAGGAGCGAGTGTCTGAACTTCTACGAGTGATTTATAGCCAATCTGAGCGAGTAGAAGACTAACTTTCTCTAAGACTTCGAAATTCATGTTTTATAAATACTAAATAGGCGCCTTAACCTTACAGAACGGCTACATAACACTCAATGTTCTCTATCCCTAACAAACACCAACTTACATACTGTTTCGTGGTTCACTCATTTGACAATTGCTACCTGCCGCGGCAGAGCATGCAGAGCTTTTGCAGGGTGCTCTGTAGACGACTGCGAGAACCCGCTGTCGTGTATAATGAACTAAGGCGAATGTGATTGGTTAACAGCCAGAGAATATTATGCTCGTACGGCTTGTGGAATCGTCATCATTACTGCTTCCGGTAATGTGCAGAAAACTGTACATTCTGGAGTAGTCGTAGAGAAATGGCTGTATGGGCCTAGGACGCATGTTTTCCGTGTTAAGCACCGTAGTAACGTGAATGCTGAGTTGCATTTGCGCCTGCTGTTCTCATTAAATCCTTTGATTGTGTTCGGTGTGTCCCTGGAGTAATTCCCTGTCCAACCTAAAAACGCTTGTGTGCGGGTGGTATATTATAAATTGTACAAAACCATATTTTCGTTATCGTTTTGTGTAGAGGGGATTTGTAACATTAAGTACAAGTCTAGAGCCTTTATTTATTTTAAATATCGTCATGCAGTGAACAAGAAAACTGGCACATTTCAAACATCAGCTCAAACGTCAGTTTTGAATGAAATGAAAAAATAAGTTTAGAAAATAGTAAGTTATATTTTTAATAGCAACATGTTTATAAATAGTACACAAAACAAGTAAGTACAGAAGTCCTTTATCATAGTTTACAGTAAAATACCATCTTTGATCGCGAAATAAACGGCTCAACGTAGGTTAAAACCGTCTTACTGATAATTGACAATGTTTGAGATGCGACACTCTTCTTGTGGACCGACGATAAGGGCTTCCATCGGAATTTTTGGCTTCCCTCGGATTTCTTAGAAGACCTGTCATTAAACTTTTTCGTTCGCCAAAGAGTTAAGCTTAAATCACTCCGCCTTTTAGTTTTGTGACTAACGTATCTGGGCCTGCTTGGACCGGACGAAAACCTTCGTTCAGCGCATTGGACACCGAGTACCCTTTGGTCTTTGTATCGTGAGAGACCTGAGAGCGTCAAACTCGAAACCTCTTGCGATATTCGATCCGCGAAACCCGAACGGTGGCCCTTGCGTCCAGTTCTGCATCGGGGAGCAGCGGAAGAACGCATCACTTACGACACGGTTTAAAAGTTGCCCAGCCGAAGGCCTCGTTTCAATGAAGTAAATGCGTTTCGAGCAGCGGTGTGTGCATTTTAGATCTATACTTTTTGTTGCAGCATACAAACTTCTGCTTTTCTTCAAATGTTACATTAATAAATTGCCCAAAAAATAATAAAAACAAAAGCAAAGGTGTTAAGTCAGTCAAGATATTGTTTAGCAATTATGAAAAACAATATGCCCCTATTATTTATTTATAGTACTTAATGGTTATGCCTCTTTGAGTATATTATAAATAATGTCAGTTCTTTTCTACTTATTTTTTACTTGGCATTTAGATTAATTGTATCAAGCACGTTTTCAGTTATGTATATTTAGAGAGTCTAAAATACGGTATAAAGAATAGGCAGATACTTTAATTTTGATTAATCGATTCTTTGTAATGGAGGTTAGTATCTCGTCCGTTTTAATTTTAATCATTTTTATTGGATTAACGTTTATAAACGTATTAACTTCGAATTGATTGAACTGTTAACAATTCATTTTAATATTCACACAATAATACCAGAGTATGATATTTTTAAACCAATAGCAAATTTTGTAAATAAGATAAATAATTGAAATACATAAACTATAGATTATTATGCAAGATAATTTAGGAAATTGTAAATACAAGGATAGTATTTCTCTAAAAATCCCATTACTGATACTTTGAATGACTGTGTTCTCACGCACTCGCAAGACCGGCACATGATGGCGTCCGCACAGCCCATGCCCTAGACACGACGTGGTAACTCGGTTATGGTAAACGGGCTACTTGTCACGTTTAGCATCCATCCTCTTTAAATCCAACAAACATAATGTTCAAGAATTGTAGAACTTACATCTTATGTATTTGGATGAATCCTTTAATTTTGCATATTACTTAATATTGTGGCATTCAACTAGACAAATGACAGCTTTATTCGGGATTAGTTATGTACGCTAATCCTCAGTAAAGCTGTATAGCTTTACGCTTGCTGTACGCTAGTATAGCTAATCCTCAGTAAAGCTGTCATCTGTTCTTCAATTACCTTTCATTACTCTTTTATGTCCTCATCAAAAATTGAAACTTCCAAATTGGATAACGGTGTTCCCTATTCCTCGCCTCGTATTATGTCAGTCACTTGTAAATGTTAAAGGGACTGCAGCCACGACTTCCTTTTTTAAAACCTTTCCTCCCTATATTGTAGTATAGGGCGGAAACAAATTTGAATAGTCTCAATCATACGATCTTGAATTTTCGCTCGTAAAAGCGTTTTTAAGATTCTTTTGAGACAATTTCCCACACACATCAAGAATGAGGGCTATTATTGCTGTTATACGCGCAATTTCGTACTCCAAAATCGGGATGTCTGTGTGTATGGAAGTATGTGTCCCGCGTGTTTTGAACTGAAACTGGGTAAATACGTCAGGAGTAAGGTCTAGTTATGCCTTTATGGAAATAAATAAGATATTTGAATTTTAGGGCGTACTTAACATGAAAAGCTAGAGACAAAAAATGATCTGGAAAATGGCCGCAATTGTTATTTTAAAATTTTAGCTATAAAAGAATAAAATGAATTTACAAAAATGGTATAGTTCCGATTTTCATTAAAATCTCTGAAATTTTGAAAATTGTAAATTTCAAATTTAGCTTCAAACCTGTCGTACTCCGCCAATATTGAAACCAGAAATTTCATTCTCAATGCATTTTATTGAGGGACGTAGATAGGCTGGTGCAACCGACTCACGTGTTGTCTCACTCACGCCGAGTCCCCGAAGTCAAGGGCCTCGAGTGAGGGCACCCCTGGCCCCCAATGGTAATGAAGAGCCGAATTTGGACTTTCTGCATCCGGGCTCTCATAAATGTATCTATATCTCTGAAATTTTCCCCCGATTTTAGATTTTTTTAAATTTGTGATGCACTGTTTTTTGGAAGAATATGAGTACTCCTTGAGTAATAACTAGCAAAGAGGAGGAAAAGTTCCGGTATGCTACGCATCTCACTAATGCTATTAAGGCGGCTCCACACAATCGGCATTCGCCGAAGAGCGAGTTACTGCTCGCCCAATTCCGTGCAGTTGATGTATTCGGTGAATGTTCGCTTCTTCTGATGTGTCCAAATGACCAGCACGCGGTGGGTAGGGCGAGCACCGAAAATTCGTAGCCCGGCAAATGGTATACAAAGATTACTACTGAAGGATCGCGGAATCAAGTCCCGCCTCGGGTATGATTGTACTTGTGTTCCTTCTTTTACCACAAACCATCACCATATTACATCATACTGTTAACGATATCATTAATTTATAGTGGTCGCTAATGACGTAGCTGTTGATGCGAAAAAATAAAAAACTTAAATAAGAATAAACTAAAAAAAGAGACTACTGTAAGAAGGGACCGTTTTGACTGCTCTGCTTGGCTTCTGCTGGCAACATAACAGCAGGTTATGTCCATGCATTCATTGTGTCAGTGCGTTCATTTGCAGTTAGCTCATTTATAAATGGATTCATCGCTATCTCTTAAAATGTCATCGCCCTTCACGACGTTCATTTGTTTCCCGGCCTGTCAAAGTGGTCGCTCATTAGAGTAACTATTCTATGGTAAGCGACTCATCCGCTCTACTCGGGATTCGGCGAGGAGCGGTCGCTTTGCGCTACTCACCGCACGACGACGCAGTGGAAGAGCACGAAGAGGCCGTAGATGGCGTAGGTGTGCCAGAAGGCGCGCACCAGCGTGCGCGTGAGGCGCGGCGGCTGCTGGTTGGCGCGCGCCGCGCTCACCTCGCGCCGCCAGTGCCTGCGCACGCGCACACGCGTCAGCAACTCTCTCTAGACTCAACAGCACTGCATTACACTACTCAGAACAGGGAGACAGGGAGAGCTTTTCATTCTTTTAGGGGTCTTAGATTGCGTGTTGTTATGTATTTGCACTCACTTTAATTTTTGCTTTTGACATGATAGACCTTATAAAAGAGTTTTGCCATTATTTTATATAACTAATTGCAGAATTTAGTAAGCTATAATAAGTTCTACTCCTACCACTACTTTCAGAAAGAGAGCTCAACAAAACTTGCGTATAATGAAGGTATATTAATGATCAGAAGCAAAATAAGGGGCAGCTCAGCATTTGCTCAATGGATCATGGAAACTGGACAGTAACCTGATCGAGATGGAGGTCATTGACCTGGAAGCTGAAGGACATTACTTGTTATAAAAATATTGTATTTTTTAAAAAAATTATACAATACCAATGTGAGCTAATGCATTATATTTCACTGTTAACAGGATTTTGTGGCGAAAGGGGTGGGTGGGGGTGGGGCGGGGGCTCACCTCTCGAGGTGGTCGGTGAGCGGGCGCGCGCGGTCCCCGGGCAGCGGGTCGTACATGTCCTCGGTGGTGAGGTCGCTGCGTCGCCCGCGCCAGAACAGCTTGCGCGTCCACCTGCAACACAAACGGCACTCGTCGCATACACGTCTCGGCCATTTCCCGCTTGTTCTTTGACGTCGCAGACAATAGGGAGTTGTTGCCCTGAGGAGCCTTACAGCAATCGACAGCACTATCGATCTGCATCGTGCAGTTCCAGTTATGCATCACTGGCGCATTTCTTCATACGTGCATGCGCAGAAGAGACAGACAGACGGGGTTGAAGTTGATAAATCGAAGCGAGAGCCAAGGTTTGTAACCAACCAAATCCGTTATTAGTGATATCGACCATCTGTCGTTCAATACATTTCGTATTACCACATTATAATAAGAAAAATAAAGAAGAAAAATAAATAAAATGACACCTTTTCTTGGAATAGGAGTTCAAATACCCTGTTTTTATCGGTAACACTTTCGTTTATTTATTTTTTATTTATTTACGTCAAAAGAGTGAAAAACTGTGTGTGGCGTGCTATGGGGAGAAGTTAATTTGAAGTTACATTTATTGCTTTACGTTTCATTACTCTTAGCGGACGTCATTCGATGAAATCCTTAACGTTAGCAGGCCGTTAAGAAAGGCTTTTCATCCCTATGTTTGATCTGATTATGTCGATAGAACAGCATTGTATAAAATGCACTACAGTACAACAAATAAAGTTAAATGAATGACAATACCACATAGAATAACTTGTATTCGAAATAACTTGTCTTTTACACATCTGGAGGAAAAACAGCTTGGGTAGATGCAAAATAAGATGTAATGATCTGCTCACAATAGAGCAACGCAAAAACACAAAGAAGCATCAAGAGGAATCGGAGAAGCTTCGGTGAAATTAAACTTTAAGTCACGACATCCAACACAACATTTATTCCATAGTATGAATATTGCTCTATTCAGGAATACATTCGCCAATCATTATGGCAATTAGAGGCAATTAATACGATCATTGGGACTGAGGTAAAAGTCGAATATAGGGAGAAAAAGGATTCGGCGTGTTTAGAGTTCAGGAAACCTACAAAGGTCGAGACGGCAAGACTACAAAGAAGGAGGAAACCACGACAGGGAAAGATCGCATTGCATTCTGTTGTATGAAGTCAACCTCTACCTGCAGCGCCATCCCCAGTGGCAGAGCAGAACCCGTCTGCCGCAACCACCACAGAGGCAGTAAAGGCTTTCCTCTAGTCATTCAATCAGCTGCCTCACATAACCAGTCAATGGGGACATACCCCCCTGAGAGTGGAAACACTTTTCCTGGTGCACGTTGACGATGTAAGGGTGAGGGGAGCGAAGAAGGGAGAGCTAAGGGGGGAAGTGAATGGACAGCTTGGGAACAGCGAACGGAGATACTGTGAGTATGGAGATGACGAAGTTAGAGCCGTTGTCATATTTTCGATATTTAAATGTCGATTATTTTGGAATGTTTCTAATCCTCACCTTTTTGGTACTTCACTGAGGAGGGAGATTTCGTTTTCTTTGGTGAGTAAAATTGAAAATGATTTTTAGCACTAAAAATAATGAGTAATGTATCGAAAATGCTAGAGAAAGACATTAAATACAAGTAAAATACATATTGATGACATACCAATGATCAGATAAAAGTGAAGGCTATAAGTAATCAATTTAATTTCATATGAAGGGGATGTTATTGTTTCTTCAACGTTTCGACCCGTATTACAATATCGCTCATATGTTCAGGAAATCAAAAGGAGTTACAAAATAGCATGTTTTACATTCTTTGGTAGCTCTAATGATAAAATACAAGAAACCTCTTATCGATATTTGGGGCTCTTTAAAGAAAATGCAGAGCTGCATGTCGAGATCAACTTGACACAATTCTCTCGCGTGAGAGCTAGGAAAGGCGAGAGTGGAGAACAGAGGCAGATCCAGGAAGTATTTCAGAAAGGTCGACGCTGTCTATTCAACGCTCCTCCCTCCCCCATACTTTTCGTAAAAGAAATAATCTCCTTTTGTAGAACGAGAGTTTCTTTTTGAAATACCTCCTTAGAAATACGTCTTTGTAATACAATGTGATGAATACATGTTAATTGTTAAGAATACATTGAATAAAAATACAAAAAAATAATAACAATTAATTAAAAAATAATACAATTGGCAATTATGTTGCAATTGTCATTTGTATTTCTATAGTCTTGTTCTTATATTTTTATCACCATCCGTTAGGATGGAATAAAATATTCAGAAACGTCGGCAAACTATTTTAATGTCTGAATTCACTGCGACCAAACCCCGTGATCTAAATTTCCCTCTTCTACTTCACGGTCGTGAATCTACAACGGTTAAAAAAATATTCGGAGTGGAGGGGGGGATGGCTTTCAGGATCTCGCTCCAGCTCCGTCCGCCGCGGGGAGGGGCCCAGCGGAGATCAGAGTTAAAGGCGGCTGGCAGGGGGTCGGGAGAGAGAGGGGCAACCGCCGCCTGAGGTCCCGTTAGTAGCCAGGTCGGTGCATTCACTCGCTGCAACAGGTAGAGATGCTTCCCAAGGCAGAGCAGCCCCCCCCCCCTTGCACCCGGCGAACGCTCAAAGACCCCTCATTACGTACAACCACTCACATTGCACGGACACAAGCTTTCACTCAGGGAAACAATAATAATCGTTATCATCTTACGGTCTGGCCTAAAGGCCTCTTCCAGTGCGATTGTCAACGTTTTCTTGGTCTTCCGGGATCTCCTTTTCCAAGAGGTTCCATGCATTTTTAGGAAGTCAATGCGAAGGGGGAGGGAAGGGCCAATGGATTTCTTCGAAAAGCACTTTCTTCCTTTTTAAAAATATTTTTTTCTTCTTCTAATTATCTCTTCTTTTAATTGTAAGTCTCTTAAAAGTTATATTTTTTGCCAATAAAATACATTGCCATTAATAAGATTTAATGCTACTTTATATTTACGCATTACGAACTCCCAACTGGAGTAAGCATCTGCGCCCCGCGCAAGAAAGCCAAAGCAGGATTAAGGATTAAAATGCCTCGTGTATGATTCATTGCACGCCTAGCAAGCTGTTTGAATCGCAGATGCATTCTCATCGAGGCGGTACTCGCTTGAGATGTCACCTCAAGAAACAGCATTTTGCAATACGGATTTACTGCCCCTCAAAATATACCAATGTACCCTGTGACTTCCCTTAGTAGAGTGGATATTGATAAGATGCAGAAAAGCTTTCGTCAAAAATATGAAACGATATAACTTTTAACTTCTTTGGGCGGAAAACAAATGCCCGAGTTGTATACTGCAAAAGAATATAATGTTCGCGGTTAAAATGATATTTAATTTCTTTTTTTATGAACGATGATAGTTTTCCCCGTAATCAAGTTTTCCCCCCTAAACAAGCTTGGAAATGACAATTTTAGATACCTCATAATAGGTATATGAGATATCAAATAAGTACATTGTTGTGTACATTCACTGCCTTTGATAAATGTTATCATGCTTTTAGGTAATATATTGTACTTGCAAGCAAGAAAGTGAAAACAAATACCTTCTGGAACAAAAACTGAATTGGAATTTGTTTGAGCTACCATTGTTATATCATATATCATTTTGAAGGATAAATTTAACTGGGTGGCAAAATGGAGTTTTCCAGAACCAACTTGAAAAAATCTTTAAAACATCGGCACATGTGTTTTTTTAAAACATTGAGTGTATACCAACGGCATATGACGGAAATAAACGTTTATACAATGGTCTGTTATTTTCAGGACTCTTGCACAATGCCTAATATCTATTGAGTATATAGCACGTGAATTTGCCCAAACAACACAACATAGGCGTCACATAAGAGAAACCGTAATGTCAGATTTTAAATAAAAGAACGTTTCCTCTGCGAAAAATATTGTTTGACAAAAAAGCTTGACACTTTTTGAAGATAAAAACACAAAACGGCAGTCTTCCTTAGAAAAGATCACTGATATGGAACATTCAAGAACCCAGAACCAAAACATTGCTAAACGTTACATCGATATACAGATTGTGGTGGGAGCAAGTTCCTGCTTATTACAAAAAAACCACTTTATCGGTATCAGGGACTCACTATTCTTGAAATCTGATTGCATAACGTGATAGAAAAAATTTACTGCACATTAGAACAAGATTTATCCACTTTCTCTATGCGAGTATCAGGGCCCGACAATAAGAGTTTTTCTCTCGAAAAAGTTTTCGTCGTTTTTTGCAGGAGTATTACATAATTTTCTCTATACTACATACTATATTTTACGCCGTATATACGTGCGTACACGAGAAAGTAAAAATATTGTCGTATTGTACAAAGTTTTATTGTTGCATAAATTCATGCATGAGCTCGTACATTTTATTACTGTGGATTTCATAAACAAAGAATTTAAATGGATCATCATTATTATTGTGTGGTTTTCCACGCAAATATTTGTTTCACACACCAAAACTTTGCAGTCTTTGTGCAGGCGCATATTTTTATCTACCCAGCTGGCAGATAACAGCAGCCAGGAAGCGTGCTCTGTCTATAGTAAGCACAATAGTGTGTGTAACGAATTACTTGCGTTTTAAAGATTTTGCGTCCGAGAGTAGTTCATGTACATGTTATGTAACGTAACTATGGTGACGTTCAAGCTCCCGATTAGATGAAACCGACAACGGCTGATACCTGCCAAGGGAAGAATTGCGAAAATCGCAGTATACCTCTTTGTATTTTAAATGATGTAAATGTAAGTGCAGATGTAAATGTAATGATGTATTGTAAATGCTCTCGCCCTTAAGGGGTTGTACCGGGCTGATACTAATAATTGTAAATTAGGTTTTCTGCTCTGAGAAATAACGGGCTCATTCAATTTTAAAATTTATTTCCAGGTCGACCACTTGCTTCCGAGAACCCATGATACTACTGAAATCAAATGCGAATTTATTAATCAAAGTTCGTGGATAATGACCATGTTCAAGTATGTTCATGACCATGTTCTTGTAGATTCAAGTAGATTCATGGCCATGTGAGTAAATAGAAGATTATTCCAGATCATGGGGTTTAGTCACAGTGCAATTCAAAACATTAACAAATTTCAGTTCGCCGGCGTTTCGAAGTATTTTAATTCCATGTTATTATAAGATGTAAGATTAAGACCCAACATTAAAATAACATATTAATAATAATCACATTTCACTTTATATTATTTTTTTTGTTGTAAACCGTTATCACCAATAACACGAGAAATATTAAGTTGTTTTTTGAAGTGGACAATAAATTTTCTGTACAAATCCGTCTGATTAGATCGTATCAATAGGTTTAAAAAAAATTAATACCTAATAATTTTGAAATATTTTACGAAACTTATTAGTCAATACCCTATTTCACTCAATTTTACAGAGAAAGCAAGTTCTTATTACTTTTATCTCCACATTTCTGTGTTTTCAACTTCAAGTACACAATGCTACAATAATAATAACCTTCTTACAAAATGTAACCTTGTAACGAAACACACGTGTGGGTGAATGTCTCGTTCATAAACCTTAGAAGGGCACGTCTTTGCGCTTTCCGATGCCCCGCCCTCGCATGTATAAACAGCTGCTCGAGATTGGGTGGCCGGTGACAATGTGCTTGCGCCACGTGCAAGCGGCCACTACGTATGGGCGGGGTCTAGAGGAATGTCTGGGTAAATTGGCGCTCACGTTGGCAAATATTAAGTCCTTATGTGACTATCATGCATGACAAGTTTAGAAAACAGAAAAAAATTACAATTTAAGTACGTCAATTTATTATTTTAATTTACAACCGCGTTTACCTCTCGTTACACAGAGCGATTACATTATACGACAGATCGATGGCATGAAAACCATTAATGTAGAACAGAATTGATGTTAAATTGAAATTTGACGAATTCATTGCATGAATCGTGAAAATTTACTTTCCAATTTATCAGGGATCCCAGCCGCGCCGATGATATAACTAATCGAGAGAGACAGAGATAGCTACTGAAGTTATCTGTTGCAATTACTATGTCAATCAATGTGGCCTTGTACGTTTGAACCGATCACTAGTACTAGGACTTTTATTTCTTGAAAAGTTCTACTTGCTCTTTAAATTAATTTAAATTACTATGATTGAGACACATGCATGAAACGATAATTGATTGATTGATTTTAGTGATTCTGGCCGCGTCAACTACTAGGATCATAAGTCCCGTAAGCGTAGCGCATGTTTTGCTTGGGAGGTGGTGATGGTCTTCCCCCGCTGTGGCGAGATCCGACGCCGACCTATCGTCGGCTAGCGGGGTTTTCTCCAACCAGGTATCTCCCACCAGCGGGGCTCCGCCTCAACAGGGACAAGCTCTAAGCTCCCGACTGGTCTCCGGGCTTATGTGGTAGGGTAGTGAATATTAGTGTGTGTGAGTAAGGGGTGAGGATAGGTCAAGGAAGAGGTAAGAAAGATCGCGCGGTCCGTGGCCCGTTTGTTAAGGTACTGCTCCGTCATTCGCGCGGTGTTGATAGGATAAACCGCGGAAAACTCCCGAACAGATCAGCCGGCCGCTAGAATTCTCTTCCCGACAGTGACTGAACTCGACCTAGCTGACGAACTAGTGTCGAAAATCCTGCCACCGTCGGGACTCGAACCTAGGACCTCCCGGTCAGAGAGACTGCAGAAGAAACATTAAAAATAGATACTTTAACAACAAACTATTGTACTTTTACAACCTTTGCGAACGATTTGCAACGCTGATAATGACATATGTAAACAATTAGAATGTGTTGCCGTACTCAGTAAATCGAATGGTTTATGAGGCTTGTGGAAGAGGCTGTTCTTCATTCAACTTTCTACGAGATATTTTTTGGAATCGCTGAAGATCATAGCCATGTAATCTAGTATATGCACGGAAGGCTAAGCGTAAGTGTAGTTCTAGCGTAAAACACTTTGGTGTGTGAATCCTAAGAAATTTTCTTCTCTTGAAGAATTGTGAGAACTTGAAAGGAAAAGAGAAATTGCTATTACTGGAAAGTACGTCGGCTGAGATTCAATCTTAATAAAATATATTAACCTAAATGTTATAGCATAGTAGTGGCTGGCAGCACCAAAACTGTCTCTGAATAAATGGCGGTCGAGGTTTCTCAATTTCTGCGTGCATTGGAAATTATAGTAAAAAATATAAAAGTAATTAAAAATATGAAAAATATGTATTGTGGGCCATATGTAACGATTTTTAGTAAGAAGACACATATTACTTATGAAACACACTATATTTTTGAGCTATGCCACAAAAAACAGCATGGTCACGTGTTATGCTCAAAACGTCCCAAGACATCACGTATGCTATTGTTTCGTTTTTTTGTATTCCTTTCACTTAGCGGTGTTTGCACATGTGGTGAACTGTCCAAGTTACAGAGTCGAAGAGAGTGGCTGCTTTTCTCACGTGACTTCAAGCGGAACGCTCAAGAGTAGGAGGATGCGAAAATGAACCTTAAGCTTTCGGGTGCTACAGGTTCAGGATATCGGTGCTTGTGAGGTGGAAATATAGAATAACGTTTTACTCCTAAGATCAAGTTGTTTACTGATTGTCAAATGACTCAAGGAAGAAGGTATTCTTAGAATTAAGTTTTACAAAAGATTTCAGGCGGTCGGTTCCAATAGTGTCAGTAATGTCGTCTGTGATTATGTTGTTTCATGTTTAAGTCTCAACATTGCAGGAAACAGTTTATACACAACAAATGCAAAAGCATTTAGTTACAAATTCTGTTAATTTCTACAGAGCACTTTCTAATAGAGATCGCCGTTATTTAGGCTTTCAGATGCTGCATCTACCCTTTTTCAAAAGACGTGCAATTCATTCTAATGCAAAAATCAGTCATACACGCGTTTTTCTGGTCGGCTTGAATTGTTCGGCGTTCTCATTGTTGATATTTTTCTTACTGCACAATAACACAAAGATGCGTAGGCGAGCTGACTTCCTTAATTGCATCGTGCTTTTGTGTGATTGTGTCTTACACCAATGATTCCTTGTGAGGTGTGTTTAGAGCTGGTGGATTTGCAAGTGGAGTTTACTGCATGTGTGGCCTGAACCCCCTGCACAAGAGTCGCAGTATGCTACATTGGGTGTCGACCCGAATTTTTAAACGGACCCTTTCGGACGGGTCTAAAGATGTAAAATAGTAAGGAAAGGGAGCACAGATATCGCAGAATTAGTTTTTGAAATCAACTGGTGAGGAAGGTCACAAACGATGGTGTGTCTTCCTTCCACTGGACACATTCAGTATTGCGGTAGTATCAGCTGCTTCCATACGGTAATTGTTGAAGTCACAAACGTGTTCTTACATTTGCACGATTTGGCAGAGACGTAACAGCCACGGAAATCCAAGAAAGAAAACGTCACTGAAGGAGATAGGAACAGAGTTCGTGGAAAACACAAAAGGAGGAAAGAAAGCCTCAGTCGCCGCTATGATGTAGGCGTAACATACTCTTAGGTATAGCCGCCAGTACATCGCGATGTGGTATACAATAAAGAGAAAGGTTGCGCGTGGACCGCGTCAGAATAATGGAAGAGTCTCTCTGATTTTGCAAAGAAAGAAGAACAGAGGTCGTGAATATGTGAAGAAGGGCGAACACTCCACTAGAACTTTGAGTCAAAGCGCTTTAAATTTGGGCTGGATTGGTCGCACGATTACGCGCGCACGTAATGTCAGGGATAGCGAAAAAAAGTTTTTTTACAAGAGATACAACAAGCAGATTTCGTGTAGGGAAGAAGGTCTCGCTGAACACTTATCACAGAAACACAACCCTGGCATTATTAATTGCTCTCGTGTGGTCCCAAAATCGCAAAAAGACGCAAGTGCGAACACGGCATTTCTCCCACGCAATGGACCGCTCAGGCGACCGCACCAGGGGAACAAGGGCGCAACACTTCACCGCACCCTGCGAGCCGAACGCTCCCAATACGGGCTCGACCAGTCGCTCTCCGTGCACAGGCGGCGGTGACGCGTGCGCGAGGCCCGTGCATTCAGCGCACGCCATCCATCGATGCGCGCGCACGGCGCACGCGTCCTCGCCGCACGACGTGCCACGCGGCGGCGGCGCCAGCCAGCCGGCCGGCCGGCCGCCCGACCGGCTAGCCGCTCTGCCTGGCGGTGGGCGTGAGTGCGGTGCCGGCCGGCTGGCAAGCGCCTTCGATCCGCCTGTTGAGCGAGTCCAACAGGTGGGACGTACGCGCTCGCGGCGTGGCAAGGCGTGGCGTGGCGTGGCGTGGCGGGTGACACTCACCAGAAGACCAGCACGGAGAAGGGCCCCGCGGTGGCGCGCGGGTTCGGCCGCTCGGGCCCCTTTTCGGTCGCGTCCAT